CATACTTATATATACACACATATATATAGGTGTACATCTGTGTATCTATATATGTGTATACATCTGTGTATACATATATATACATGTATATGTATGTATAAGCATGAAGTAGATATATACATGTTTATGCATATGTATATGTGTATGTATGAATGTCTGTCTGTCTGTCTGTCTGTCTGTCTGTCTGTCTGTATGTATGTATGTGTGCATGCATGCATGCATGTATGCATGCATGCATGCATGCATGCATGCATGCATATATGTATGTATGTATGTATGTATGTATGTATGTATGTATGTATGTATGTATGTATGTATGTATGTATGTATGTATGTGTATATATATATATATTTATCGAAGACACCTACGGCGTATCTATGTATATATGTATTTATCGAAGACACCTACGGCGAATCACCGCCGCCCCTGCCTGCTGGAATCGCACATGTGTCCGAGCGTTGTGGCAAGAGCTCTGCCAAGCTATCGGACCATGTGTTCCCCCGGCCGGTGTGGAAACCCTTTGGGAACACTTGGGGGAGGATGGGCCCGATGACCGACTTCGGGGGCCGAAGTCGAGGAAAAACCGCAGGTTGAACAAATCGAGCGAGGGTCGGTCGTCGGAAGCGAGGAATCGAAGAAATCGATCGTCGGATATTTTGGTCAGGAGGGTGCTCATGGGCCCAGCGCTGGTCGCGCGCATCGAGCCACCCTTGCTGCTCTTTCGCGCTCGGGCGCTCTGGCCACGCTTTGGGTCTGAGGTCGTGCCATCTCGTCGGAGCTCGCAGCTTATCGTCGGCATCGGCATCAGCAGCAGCAGCATCGTCACCTTCCTCATCCGAATCATCATCATCTTCGTCGTCATCATCGTAATTGCCAAAGTGAATGTCAAAGGCACCATCATCGTCATCATCACACGCACCATCACCATCACCACCACCATCATCGTCATCGTCACCGTCGTTGTCATCGTTATCATCCTCATCGTGGTAACAACTTTAGTGCGGAGTGTGCTGGGGCAGGGGTTTCAGTGGCCGCACATCTATGAATATTTGTGCTCAAGCTTTTGAGGGGCATGCAAGCTGCCGCCACGCGTTTCCTTTCGGATCTCGCGCGCGGTGCCTCGCAGGCCCTGGTGGTGTGGTCGGCTTCGCCCTCACCGTCTCCCGCGTGTCCTGCCTGTACGTGCGAGTGCTCCCCGACATACAGCGTCTCCTGCCCGAACATCGACGGGCCCCACGCGCTGCAGGTCTTGACGGCCTGGGGCAGCCACATCGTGTTCTTCATCTTCGGCCTGTTGGTGGGCGTTTTCGTGGTGCCCACGATCTGGAGCTGGAGGTCGCAGGCTGCGGGGGTGAGAGTTTCCGTCCCATCGGAGGCGGTCAGCGCTGGAGCGGAGGGCGTGGCGCCGTCGGTCGAGCAGCTTCGCCGTTTGGCCTCGCAGCAAGCGAAGGCCGCCATTCAGAATGCCACGGCCAGGTGATGTGCACGCCGTTCGATATCGAGTGGGAGGACCCGCAGTATATCATGAGCGGATCACGCTACTGGACGTGCCGCCTGGCGCGGCGGTGGTCCTCACGGTGGACGGGGACGTTTACGAGGAGTCGACGGTCGTGGATGCGGACGTGCTCGAGGTGCGGCCTCTTCGAGGCCTCGGGGCTCCGCTGTTCGGCGTCGCCGATCTCAGCGCGTATCTGTTCGCGGCGGCGCCCGACGCGGTCACCATTTGGGCGCACCTGCGGGCGGCCGCGATGCTGCGCGGCGTGCCCGTGCCCGCCTCGCCGTTTGTGTTGGCTGCAGGCGTGGGCGGCGGGGCCGCCTGGGCTCCGCAGCGCGTGCAGCTGGACGACCCCGCCGACGCGGCGGCCGTGGTGGCGGCCCCCCCTGCCGCGCCTCCCGTCGGCGGCGGCGCCGCTGACGTAGGCGGGGCAGGGGCCTTGGCGGCCGCCTTGGGGGTGCCCGTCCCGCTTGCTGCAGCCCCTGCGGCCGCGCCCGCCGCGGCAGCAGGGGGTCCCGTGGCTACGGCCGCTGCCGCAGGCGCTGGTGGGGCGGCTGGGGCAGACTGCCGCGTGCACCCGATAGTGCGCGACGCGGCTGGGCGGCGAGCGCTGGACTTCGCCACGGCGGCCCTGCTGGCCTCCTCCACGCCCCAGGCGGACTGGCCGATCAAAGGTCCGCGGGCGACACAGTGGTGCCTCGATCACATGAGGCGCAACGCGGGCGGTCCGCGGGCGTGGCACTCCAAGTGGAAGGCGGAGGCGATGCTGCGCGACACCGATGCGATCTGCCAGCAGCACGAGATGAACTGGAGGCTGCTCGAGGTAGGCAGTTGCTACGACCAGATTAACTGCGCGGAGTTGGCGTCGTATGAGCTGATCAGCCGCCAGATCCAGCTCATCGAGGAGCGGCACTACGAGGACACCGTCACCGCGCAGGTGGCCGCTGAGGACAATAAGGCGGGGAAGGACAAGAGCGCCAAAGCTGCCAGCTCGAGCTTGCTGGCGGTGGAGGCGGACCACTACATGGGGGTGTCGGCGATCAAGGGCGACCTGTGCATCGCGCCAGCCCTCACGGACTTCATCGTGGATCAGTTGCAGGCGGAAGCCGCCGTTGCCAAGGAGAGGCGCAAAGCCCGCGAGGAGCGGGCGGCGCGCGCGTAGCCCTTCGAGAGCTTCTCCCAGGCGGGCGCAGGCACTTCGGTGCCGCCCGGGTGTGTCTTGCATTTTCGTGGGGGCGCGCCCCGCCAGTGTTGCCGCGATGTGCCTTGGAGTTCGTCAGCGTGATGTGTTCCCCTTACCTGCTCTGGCGGTGGACGCTCGCGTGGGCGCTTGCCGCAGCCGTCGGGGGCGCCAGCGCGCCCAGCGCGGTGCTGCTTGGCGGAGATGGGCTAACGACGGCATTGCTGCCTTGAACCAGCTGAGTGGCCACTTCTCTCCTGCGTCTGCCCCGCCTGGTCTAACGGCGTCGGCGGCGCAGGCGAGCGCGATGGATCGCATCTTTCAGGCCTATCAACATTTCCCGCTACCTCCTGAATATTATGAGGATGCTCATTCTGGCGAAGCAGCCTTGACAGAGCTGCTTTCGTCGGCGCCTGGGTACTCCTCGGACTCCCAGCGCGTCAAGCCCCTCAACAAGGACCTGGTGTCCTGGCCTGATCTCTCGACGGCCCCAGTTGATGTCGCTGATCTCGTCGGGGGGGCCGAGCGCGAATGTTTGTCGGGATGGGGGCGGACCATGCTCAAGGTTGAGTCGTCTGCTTCAGATCCTAGAGCGGCTTCGGTGCCGCAGCGTCCTTGCGTCGACCCGATTTTGGGCAGCAGCCCCAGGGCCTACGCCGGCTTCGTGGGGAAGTTGCTGCGGGGCGGTATGATCTCCTTCCGTGTCGCGCGGGCTGGTGATCCTTATAGCTTGGGTTTTTCTTTGTCGAGAAGGTTGGCAAAGGCGCGCTTCGCCTCGTCTTCGATACGAGGGTGGCGAACGAGGGTTTCGTGGCGCCGCCCAAGACCGCGCTCCCCACGGCGGCGGCGTGGGCCGCCCTGGAGTCGGACCACCTCGTGGTGCTGGCCCAGGGCGACATCCAGTGCGCCTTCTACCACATGCTCGTACCGAAGGGCATGGAGGAGCTGTTCACGCTGCCTACCATCTCCAATCGCTTGCTCAACGTCAAGCAGCTCGACGGCCTCCCCATCCCTTCCGACTGCTTCCTCCAGCCGATGGTGCGCGTCCCGCCGATGGGCTGGAGCTGGTCGCTGCTGTTCTGCCGGGGCATCATGAGCAGGGCCCTCGTCCACTGCGGGTTCGGCGACGGCGACCTCATCGAGGATAGCCGACCGAGCCCCGTCCTCTCTGCCAAGGACAGCGTGGCGGCAGCGGGCTACGTCGACAACTTCGCCATCGTGGGGGGCGACCCCATCGCTGTCACCTCCAAGAGGGATGAGGTGACTCGCACGCTGGAAGCTTGGGGCTACCTGTGCACTCGCTCGATACCGCCTCGGCCGTATCCGTCTTCACGGGTCTCGAGATCAACGGCGACCTTGGGGCCGTGAGGGTGAAGCCTGCTAACGTCATGCGCCTTCGGCAGGCGCTGCTGGCGGTGTTGCGGCGAGGCGCCGCCTCGCATCGCATGCTTGAAGTCCTTCTGGGCCGCATCACGTGGACGATGATCTGTAAAAGACAGACCCTCTGCATCCTGTCGTCTGTCTACGCCTTTAAGTCCCAGAAGGGCCCTGGAGTCAGGCCCCTGTGGGCCTCCGTCAAGTTCGAGCTTTGGTGTGTGGCTAGTATTTTACCTTTATGAACATCCCCTGGGGCTCCCACGTCTCGGCTTCGGTCGCTTCTCCTATCGGTGTGGGAGTGTGTACTCGCAAGGTGGTCGGGCCTCGGGTGGCCGAACTTGGGAGGCAGGCGGAGAGGTTGATATATCGTTGTACTTCGGCGGTTTCGGCACGTGCGAATGCGCTGGGTCTCGGAGGGGCCCCCGACGACTTCGACATCATCGAGGGTTTCTTGGGCTCGAACCCCGAGGGCTTCAGCAAGGGCTTCAACGAGATCCCCGAGGAGCTCATGCAGGTCTCGTCTTGGGTCACCGTGATCTCCAGGAGGCATTGGAACCCGTCGAAGAACATTTTAGAGCACGAGGGTGACGCGCTGTGCGACGCAGTTCGGCACGCTACCCGCGACGTTTCGCTTCGCCACCATCGCCTCTTGTTCCTCGTAGACAACTTACCTTTGGCTCTGGCGGCTGGCAAGGGACGAGGCCGCAAGCCGACCCTTCGGCGACCTTTGCGGAGGATCGCCGCGCTCGCGCTGGCCGCCAACATTCGGTGCTATGTGCGGTGGATACCTTCTGAGCTGAACGTCGTGGACGGGCCATCCCGCCATGGCTTCTTCCACGGCAAAAGCTTCGAGGAGGCGCGCCTCTCCTCGGCAGATCGCTCCCACCCTGAAGCAGACTGCTGCTCCGATCGTGGCGGCTCAGGCGGCGGTTCACCCTCGGGCCGAGGAGTTGTTCGAGGGGGCCCTCAGCTTCCTCGAGGACTCAGCGGTGTCCGGGCTTACTCGGGCTCGGTGCCGCTGCCGCGCCCTGCGATTCCTGGAATGGCTGGGCTGGCACGACCTGAATTTCACCACCGCCAGCCAGCTGGGCAGCATCATCGTGCGCTCCCTGACGGACTTGGCCCTGGGCGGTTTCGACGCGGCGACGGGGGGGATGGCGGTCGCGGCGCTGCGCCACTTCCTGCCGCGCATCCTCGTCGGGAAGCGGCCGCTCCCGCGGACGGCGCGAGCCCTCGATGGGTGGCGCCGCCTGGTGCCGCCGCAGATGCGCTTGCCTCTTCCTCGCTCGGCCGCGATGGCGGTCGCAGGCTGGCTCATCTGGAAGAACCTGCCCAGCATGGCGGTCTTCGTGGCGCTGGTTTTCCCCGCGTACCTCAGGCCGTCGGAGGCCTACAGGCTGCGCGTGGGCTCGCTGGTGCCGCCGACCCCAGGGTCGGGCTTCAACGCGTGGGGCATCATCGCGAACGACGCGAAGTCTGGCCGCCCTGGCAAGGCGGGGGTGATGGGCGAGTCGGTGCTGGTCGACGCCCCCGAGCTCTGGCCCGTGCTGCACGCGCTGGCGCTCAACGCGGCCGCGGACGTCAGCCTCTGGAACTTCAGGCCCGCCGACGTGCGCGCGATGTCCCGCCAGGCCTTGCGCGAGCTGGGGCTGCAGAAGGAGTCTCCGTCCTTGTGCACCCTCCGTCACGGGGGGGCCTCGCGCGACTTGCTCTCGGGTGTTCGTGCGATAGCGGAGGTCAAGGAGAGGGGGGGATGGACATCAGACAAATCGTTGAGGAGGTACGGCAAGAGGACTCGCATGCAGCAGCGGATCAGGGACCTCCCGCCTCAGATTGCCGAGTTCGGCGAGCAGGTGTTCGCGAGGCTCGCGGAGCTGATCGAAATCATGTTCGTGAAGGGCAGCTCCCCGCTGCCAGTGCCGCTCCAGCCGGCGCCCGTCCTGCCGCGGGTCGTGAAGCGGGCGCCCGTTCTGTCCAGAAAGTAGCTTCGCGCATGCGTGCTGCCTTCCGACGTGCCTTTGTGTGGGCGCCCCGTCGCCGCCGGCTTGTTTTGCCAGTGGTTGGGCCCCGCGGGGCCCCCATGTGCAAAGCGCTGCGCCGTCGCGGTCTGGGTTGTCCTTCGCTTGGTGCAGGTCGAAATGTGGGCCTTGCGCTGTGCGATCAGGGCGTCGTCGATCGACTCCTTGGGTGGGTTCGATCGTCGGCGGTCTGTGCTTGCTGGCTCTCTGTGCCACGCGGGTCTTGGATCGAGTCTGGGCCCCCGCCTGTCCGCGCAGCGTCAGACCCGCGGGGTCGGGCCGCGCCTGCTAGCCTGCGGTTGCAGCCCCCGACGTTTGTGAGTGACAATGTCGGGGTGCGCGCTGCCCTCAGAGTCATTCGTGCCTCTATCGACTCGTCTGTACCTGTCTGTCTTGAGCACCCGCGTGCCTGCTTCATTTTTGCGTTGCCTGAGTTTCGAACTCTGGTTAGTCCCCCGTCGTTTCTTCAAGTAGACCTGGACCTCTGCCAATTCGGAGCGGCAGCCCGCTCGGCCACGCGAGTGTTCTGCTGGCGCTGTCCTCAGCTCCAGCGCCTCAGCGCTTGTTGCCGTCTGCGTGGCATGGTGTGCTCGGGATCGGGGCGACCTCATTTGCATGTCGACGGCCGCGCGGCCAGAGGCGTGGCTTGCCGCTGCAAAGCTGCGCGCTTCCCCGTCCGAGCTGCAGAGCTGGTGGCCGACTCCATCGTTGATGCTATGGAGGATCTGTCTCGGTCCAGGTTGCATAGTCTTTGCGGCCTGCGTCCATGATGTAGTGTTACACAGTGTACGTCTGTGCTGCCTGCAGTGTCTGTCGCCACTCGTGGACTGGATGCATCGCTTCTTGCCATCGCCACCGTCTGTTTTTCTAAAAGGGAACGCTATGGCCACGGCGACCCTCCTCGGCGTGGTAACAACTTTAGTGTGGAGTGTGCTGGGGCAGGGGTTTCAGTGGCCGCACATCTATGAGTATTTGTGGTCGAGCTCCCAAGCCCACCCGCCCTCGCTTGAGGGTTTAATTTCGCTTTTCGACGTCTGTGCTGCCTGCAGTGTCTGTCGCCGCCGGTGGACTGGATGCATCGCTTCTTGCCATCGCCACCGGCAGCTTTTCTAAAAAGAACGCTATGGCCACGGCGACCCTCCTCGGCATCATTGTCATCATCAGCATCGCAATCGTCATCATCATCACCAGCATCATCGGCATCGTCGCCGTCATCGTCATCGTCATCGTCATCATCGCTGGCATCAGCAACACCAATACCAATGTCAACATCTACATCATCATCATCATCATTGTCGCCATTATCAACATCATCAATAATACCAACATCATCGGCATCAGCAACAGCATCAACGCCACCATCATCATCAAACACATCATCATCGTCTTCGTCTTCACCATCATCACCACCATTCACCATCATCACCAATTTCCCCGTTTATCCACGTTCATTTCTTCCTCGTCGTCGTCTCTCTCCTGCGGTCCTGGTCAGCTTGTTTTTTTTTCTTTCTCCGTTTCCCTTTTCTTTGCTCTGCTCGTGTGGGACCCTGGTTCTCGCGGCGATATTCATAGGCCTTCGCACACACGAGCTCCCGTCTTTGTTATTGGTTCGCTCAGGGCGCACGAGGTGGGCATTTGCCAATGTGCAAAAAGTTTCGACCCGTCCTTTCTCCGTTGCTGCTCTGCTCGTTCTGTTTCCCTGTCCTGGCTCTCTTGCCCCCATCCGCTTTGTCTCGTGTGCCCCTGCCTTCCTAGCTGTGTGTTTCTTCGCTGCCTGCTGGTTGCCGCCCGCTATCTTCCCGGCTTTCTCTTCTACCTCTGGTGGCGTCTACGCCATGGGCGACGTTTTGTGTGGCGTTCCCCGCTTGCCCGTCTTCCTCCTTCTCCTCCTCCTTGTCCTTTTCCTCCTCCGCCTCCATCCTTTCCTGGTGGTGGTGGTCGTCGTCGTCGTCGCTGCCATCGTCATCGTCATCATCATCGTCACCGTCCTCGTCATCGTCCTCGTCATCGTCCTCGTCGTCATCATCAGAATTCACCTCTTCTGGCTCACATCTCGGCGCCTGTCTTTCCTTCTCAGGTCGGAAGTGTGCGCTCGCCTCGGCGGCGGCGGCCGCGCTCTCACGTGGGCGAGAGTGGCGCTGTCGCATCCGCGACGGTCGCATTCTCATGCCAGCGCTGCTCTGCAGCTCGGCGCTGGTCGCGTGCGCAGGTCGGACTGGTTCTTTCCCCTCGGCCCTGGCCGCGTCCACATGCCAGGATGGTGTCACCGCCTCGGCGGCGGCCACCTCCTCCTCCTCGGCGCTCGTCGCGCGCGCAGGTCGGCCCGGTGCTTCCTTCTCGTCCCTGGCCGCGTGCGCGTGCCGGAATGCTCTCTGCCGCCTCGGCGGGTGCCGCATTCTGCTGCTCGGACGGGCGATTGTCGGCTAAACGTAAGAGTGACCTTTCGCCGGAGTGACCTTTGGTGCGGGCTCACTGGGGTCCCCAGATGGCTGAGCGAGATGCGATAGCAGCGGCTTGCGCGATCCAGTTCGGCCTCCCTCCCGCGGCCCCCGAAAGTCGCGCACCAAAGGTCACTCTTGCCTGGGGTCACTCTTACGTGTAGCCAAGATTGGACCGACCACTCTCTCGTCTGGTCCGCTCACGTTGTGGCGGCGCTGGCCGCAGGTGCTCCGCCCCGCCCTGCCGCGCTCGCGCCATTCGCCCCTGCTCCTCCAGCCGCTCGCCTCGCGCGCGCGCCTCCCCTTCTGCAGGAGCCCGGCAGCGTGTGGATCGTGTCCGACGCGAAGTTCAACGACTCGCGCGAGCCCGTGACGCTTACTCGCACCACGCTCATCGAGATCTTGGCGCGGGGGGAGGGCTCGGGGATGCGAGGCCGGCGCCACGGATCCGGGCACGTGGGGCAAGTGCGCGAGGAGGGGGAGATTGAGGAGGAGGACGAGACGAGGAGGAGGAGGAGGAGGAAGAGGAGGAGGAGGAGGAAGAGGAGGAGGAGGAAGAGCAGGAGGAGGAGGAGGAGGAGGGGCGATGGTGGAGGGAGGAATGATGTGGGGGGAGGATTGAGGCGTGAGTGTGATGAAGATGGGGGGTGAGAAGGGAAGGGAGAAGGAAAAGGCGGATGTGGAGGATGAATAGGAGTGGCATTGTAGGAGGAGGAGAGGGAGAGGGAGGAGGAGGGAGAATTGGAGGAGAAGGAGATGAATGAGCAAGAAGAGGAGGAGAAAGAGGAGGATGAGGAGGAGGAGGAAGAGGAGTAGGAGGAGAAGGAGCATGTGGAGGAGGATGATAACGAGGAGGAGGGAGGCGCAATTGGGAGGATGCAGGAGATTCGAGTGAGCACAAGTTGGAAGACATGGAGAGATGATGATGACGACGATGATGATTGTGGTGATATGATGATGATGGTGATGACGACGACGATGATGATGATGCTGTTGATGACCTTGATGATGGTAGTGAAGATGGTGATATTACTAGTAATAGTACTACTGATGCTCATCGTAATTATGATAATGCTACTGGAGGTAGTTACTATTTTCGTAATTGTGGTGGTAGTCCTAATCTTGATACTGGTCATCGTAATGCTAATCATAATATCATGAATAGAACGATGACGATGACGATGATGATGATGACGATGATGAGGATGAGGATGCTGATGGTGATCGTGATGATGATGACGATGATGATGATGATGATGATGATGATGATGATGCTGATGCCGATGCTGATGAAAATGCTGATGCCGATGTTGTTGATGAGAATTTTGTTGTTAATGCTGCTGATGTGACATCTCTTGTTTTTTGACAATGATATTGATGGGAAGGCTGCCGCTGGTGAGGATGTGGATGTTAATGATGATGATGATGATGATGATGATGATGATGATGATGATGGTTGTGATGATGACGATGACTACGGCGATAACGATGATGATGATGATGATGATGATGATGATGAGGATGATAACGATGATGATGATGATGATGATGATGATGATGATGATGACGATGACGATGACGATGATGATGGTGATGATGATGCTGCTGATGATGATGATGATGATGGTGGTGATGGTGGTGGTGGTGGTGGTTGTGATGATCATGATGATGCATATTCTAGTGATTATGATGATTGTGATGCTGATGGCGACGCTGATGATGATGGTGATGGTTATGGTGATAGTGATAAGGATGGCGATGGCGATGACGATGATGATGATGATGATGATGATGATGATGATGATGATGATGATGCTGCGGATGCTGATGATGATTCACTTATGATGCTGCTGATGATGATGCTGATGATGATGATGCTGATTATGATGCTGATGCTGATGCTGATGATGATGCTGATGATACGGATGTAGTTGATGATGTTGGTGATGTTGATGATGCTGATGATGATAATGATGATGATGAGGAGGAGGATGATGAGGATGATGATGATGGTGATGATGATGCTGATGATGATGATGCTGATGCTGATGCTGGTGCTGATGCTGATGCTGATGCTGATGATGATGATGATGATGATGATGATGATGATGATGATGATGATGATGATGATGATGATGATGATGATGATGATGATGATGATGATGATGATGATGATGATGATGATGATGATGATGATGATGATGATGATGATGATGATGATGATGATGATGATGATGATGATGATGATGATGGTATTGGTGTTGACGATGCGTGCGCAGCTCAGCGTTCGGGAGCGTGTCGGGGGAACAGTGAGTAGCGCGACGGCTTCTCCGTAGTTATTTGGGTGCAAACGGCGCCAAACGGCTCCAGGCGACGCCCCCCCTGGACCCGCCACGGCGGCCCTCCACTAGTGGCTTGCCTCCGACTCAGGGTTGCCGAGGCAGCGCGTGGCGGGCAATGCCCCCCAGCCCGACGGGCGGGCTGGCGGGCGGCGGGGGGCGCCGCCTGGCTAGGCTCAAATGCCCGGGCCCGCCCTGCTGGGTGTTGGCGGGGCGCGCAGGCGCGCCGCGGCCTGGCGAGGTTGGACCCGCAGGGGCGCAGAGTGGCGGGGTCGGGCGGAGCGCGGTATGCAAGAGGCGTGCTTCTGCGAGCCCTCGACGGCCCATGATGCCGCCACGGGTCGGGCACCTCGGGCTGCGGGCGGGCCGGCGTCGGCCGAGCCCGCGGGAGCCGCGCCAGTGCCGCTGACCTGGCGGCCAAGAGGGGTGAGGCCGCAACGGCTGCAGTGGAGAAAGCAGCCCCGGGACGCGGCCAGGGCTGGGCCGGCGGCCAGGGCTGGGCCCCGCAGGAGGCGCCGCGGGCATCGCAGACGAAGTGGGAGCGGTCGCCCTGGCCGCGATGCCTCCTCGGTGCCCGCGGGGCAGCGAGGGGGCGAGGAAGACGGGCCCGCGAGATCGTCCAGACCCCCGAAAGGGGCGCCCCGAGCCGTGGGTGGCGGTGGACGAGGATTGGCATGCCCCCATGGCCGTCCCGCCTGGCAACGCGATTGATGTCCAGTGCGAGGTGAACAGAAACGTCCGCCACTTCTTCGTGGAGGCAGAGGGCGAGCCTGTCTGCGTCGACGGGAAGGATGGCGCTTTCCTAGCAGCCATTTTCGTCGATGTCCGGAGGGCGCAGGCGTCAGCTGCGCGCGCCGCCTTGTACGGGGGGGAAGAGGGCAAGGGGCTGCTTCGCTTCTGCGACGAGACCGCGAAGGGGGTGCCAGGTGGAGAGCCCTGGCGCCGGCCGTGAACTGGCGCGCATCCATCGACGCGTGCCAGCTGGGGCCCGACGTCAAACCGACCCGCGGCGCCTCGGCGCTTTCCGCCGAGCAAGAGGGGCGATGCCCCGGGGACAGCCCCCGCGGGCGGGGCGGCCGTCTTCGACGACCGCGGCGATGATCGGGCCCCGCTGCCGCCGCCAGCCCCCCCCTCCTCCCGGAGTCAGCAGGCCCGCCCTTGGAGAAGCTAGCGGAGCTCAGCCAGAGGGGCGGTCCCTCCGAGCCGATGGGATCGAATCGAGTATACAGCAGTGCCAGTGGCGCGAAGGTCGGCGAAGCGCTGGCCGAGTGGGCCGGGAGGCGCCGCGCGAGGGCGCGGGGTGGCCGCCCGAAATCTACGCGCGCCCAGGGCGGGGGGGGGTGAGTCAGGCCGCTGCCGCTGTGGGGAGACGAGGATGAGGCGACCGACGCCAAGTAGAGTTTTCGCCCGGCCCCGCCGCGGGCGGGCGAGGACCTCGCGTCCTTCGCTTGCCGTTGCCCAGGGCAGCTCCTGCACGTGGCGATCGGGCAGGTCGAGCGCTGCCCTGGCGCCCGACGAGGGGCCGCCCCGTCAGGGGCAATACCCTTCGCGCATCTCGAGGCCGTGATCCGCCCGCATGCCCCCCCAGCGACGCCGGGCGAGATGGGTCGCGAGATGAGGGCGCTCGCCGAGTTTCTGGGCGCCATCCACGTCGGCGACCTGCCGGGGGTGGCCGACCTGCGCGCGCAGAGGTTCAAGGGCTGCGAGGTCAGGATTTAGGGCGGCAGCGCTCGCCTCGCCGCGCAGGGCGAGCTGGCCCCTCGGCGCCCCGTCGGTCTCGCAGCTCCGTCGGGGCGGATGCCGGTCGGCTGGCTGGACGTGCGGCGGGCGAAACTCAGCGGGATCGAGGATCAGTCCAAGATGGCCGAGCGCCCCCCGGGCCAGGGGGTCGGGGGGCCTCGCGGGGGCGCGCCCCGAGGCGACCCGCGAGACAAGCGCAGCAGCGAAGAGGGGTGCTCGGCGTCGAGACGAAGGAGCGCCGAGCGATCGCCGCCACCTGCCCCCCGACGGGCGCGCCAGCGCCGGCGAGGAGCAAGCGGGGGGGGCAAGGGGGCGAACGGGGGGCGCTTTCGCTGGTTCCTGGGCCCCATGGCGATGGGTAAGGGCATGCCCCCGCAGGGGGCGCCCGCTTCGCCCCTTCGGCTTCGCCCCTCGAAGCTGACTCCTCCAGCGGCAGCTGGGCTACTTGCGTGGGAAGGGCTGCTGAGCGGCCGCGTGGGAATCGCCGCTGGGGTCGCCGACCCGACTGGCCTCGCTTGGGCCAGTTTCGCTGCCCGCGAAAGGATGGCGGGGGGGGCCCTCCGCGCCTGGCGCGTTGAGGGGTGCGCCGTCGCGAAGATGGGCGCCTGGGTCTTGCGAGTGGCCCTCCTGTCTGGCGCCTGGCTGGGCGAGCGCGGCAGGCGTTCGGCGGGGCGCGCCGCGCGGTCGACGCGGCCGAGCGTCGGCGAGGCGCCGTGCCGCCCCCCTCGCCCAGCCAGGACGGGTGGGTCGGGTGCATCCAGGCGCGCCTGCTCGTACCTGGAGGGCCCTGGTCAATGGCAGACTGGGAGGAGCGGCGACGAGAGGCCGAGTTTCCCGTGGAAGGTCGGGATCGGCCTGTATGCGCGCAGGTCGCGCTGACCAGTCGGCTTCGTGATCGAGCTCGGCATTTTCCGCCCCCCTCTGTCCAGTAGTCCAGCAGGGGGCTGTCCCGCGCGCGGGGTCGGCGGCCGCCCGCTTGTGCCCGGGCCCGCGGGCAGCGACCGTGCGGCGCAGGAGGTCGCGTCGAAGGATGCCGTTGGGGTGTTGCGCGCGCGGCGAGTCCGCGGTCAAGCCTGAGCCGATCGCGCGGGCCCAGATCGAGGCGGGGTTCGCCCCGAGAGATCTGCGGGACCTTGCGGGCGGTCGACTTCTGCAGCCCCGCGGTGGGGGCAGCGCTCGAGAACGTCGGTAACTTCGCGCCCCCATCCGACGAGTGCCCGGGGGTCTCCGCCGCGAAGGCGCATTGACTCGACGACGAGTTGGGCCTCGTGGCGGCTGAGCATCTTGACCGAGGCACCCCGGCGGTCTTCGAGAGGAGCACGCGCGCGTGGGGCAAAGAGGCTGGGCAATGGTGCGCTCGGGGCCAGGAAGAATGGCGGCGCCTCGCAGGGGCGAGTTCGCCATCGGTGGCCCCCACCAACGCAGGGCAGATGCCCCTGGATGCCAGCGTCGACGAGTGTCCAGTTGATTGGTCGGCCCCCGTTCACCCGCAAGCACGTTGCGCTGCTTCCATGCGCGCGCCATCTTGTGGTCGATGTGGTGCTCTCTGGCGCGTTGTCGTGCTCGTGGGCTTTGGCGGTGCGCGCGGGGGCGTTTCGGTGCTGGCGGCGGCCCGGCGCCGCGATGTGATCGGGGAGCACGAACCCTCCCCCGATCGCGCCCGGTATCGCGAATAATAAATAAGGCCCCAGAGGCTCAGTAGACGATTGCAGTGGCACCCACCTTTCGCCGCAGGCGAGTAGGTCCAGGGCCCTTCGCAACCCAGTGATCGCGGCCCCGTGAGGCAGCGTGATCTAGGTCAGGGCCCCACGGGGCATGCCAGATCTCCGTGTCCCAGTGATTGCTGCCTGACTGGGCGACGCCAGATCTCTGGAGTGCGCCCTATGGTCGCGACGCCATGGGGCAACGCCTGACCATGTGAGGGTGCAAGTTTGTGGTCGCTCCATTTTGGAGGACGTATCTACACGTGGCCACTGATGCGTTAGGCCGACAGCGGTTATGAGGTTGGATCCAGCCTCAGGGGTGGGGTTTGTGAGCCTTGCGTCTACCGCGCACGCGTGGCGCCTTGGCGCGCTTGTCGATGCAAGGATCGCCGTGATGAGCCCGCAGCTCAGCGTGCGGGAGTATGGCGGGGAATCAACGAGTGGCGCGACAGCTTCCCCGTGGTGGCGTGGGCCCAGTTGCCCAGCCTTCGGATGACACCCAGAACCGTGTCCATGCCGGTGCGGCCTTGAGAAATCGGGTTCGGCGGTGCCTCGCCCCGTTGCTAGGAGACTCCGCCCCTCTTTTGCGTGTCGTTGGCGCCTCAGAGACTGGCCCTGGAGGGCCGCGTTGACCCAGGAGTTTCAGTGCTCCCTAGTGGCACCCACCCCTCGCGGAGAGCGAGCAAGTCCAGGATCCCTCGCAACCAGGTGAATGCGGCCCCGTCAGGCAGCGCGACCTACGGTGCGACGCCAGATCTCTGGAACGCGCCTTGTGGTCGCGACCCCATGGGGCAACGCCTGACCATGTAAGGGTGCAAGTTTGTGGCCGTTCTACTTGGAGGACGTTTCTCAACATGGCTTCTGATGCGTTATGCACGACAGCGGTTGGGAGGTTGAATCCGGCCTCAGGGGTGGGTTGCGTGAGCCTGGCGCCCAAGTTGCACGCATGACGCCTCGGCGCTTGTTTGTCGATGCAAGGATCGCCATGGTCATCATGAAGGTGATGTTGATGATGATGGTGATGATGATGCTGATGATGGTGATGATGATGACGACGATGGCGCTGGTGATGTCGGTGGTCATGATGATGCCCACGACGCGTTTATAACGACAGCGATCACTGGGAAACTGATGTTTACGATGGTCACGACGATTACGATGATCACGCTGACTGCGATGCTGATTATGGTGGTGGTTATGATCTTGGTGTTGTTTATTCCCCATATCCTAAGATGGGGTTCTTGTTATTACTTGGACGCCTCCTACTGCCTCTCCCTCCTCCTCTTTCCTCCTCCCCTCCTCATACTCAGACTTACTCATACTCAGACTTACTCATACTCAGACCTACTCATACTCATACTTACTCACACTCAGACATACTCATACACAGACATACTCATACACACACTTACTCACACCCATACGTGCTCATACACAGACTTACTCATACCAGACTTACTCATACACAGTATTACTCATACTCAGACTTACTCATACCCAGACGTACACATACACATACTTTCTCATACACAGACCTACTCATACCCAGACTTACCCACACACAGACTTACTCATACACAGACTTACTCATACTCAGGCATACTCATACTCAGACCTACTCATACTCAGACTTACTCAACACACATCAGATTTGGAGGATGTCTCAAACGGGGCGCTGGTTTCAGCACCCCTAAGGGGAGCCGCCGGGGGTGGTTGCACGGGCTCGTTCGCGGCCATTTTGTGGGGATGTCTCAGGCGGTTTGCTTGTTTCTGGGCTCAACATCCTTCGCTTGGAGAGCAGATTGTGAGGATGTCTCAGGCGGGGCGCTGGTTTCAGCACCCCTAAGGGGAGCCGCCAGGGGTGGTTGCACGGGCTCGTTCGCGGCCATTTTGTGGGGATGTCTCAGGCGGTTTGCTTGTTTCTGGGCTCAACATCCTTCGCTTGGAGAGCAGATTGTGAGGATGTCTCAGGCGGGGCGCTGGTTTCAGCACCCCTAAGGGGAGCCGCCAGGGGTGGTTGCACGGGCTCGTTCGCGGCCATTTTGTGGGGATGTCTCAGGCGGTTTGCTTGTTTCTGGGCCCAACATCCTTCGCTTGGAGAGCAGATTGTGAGGATGTCTCAGGCGGGGCGCTGATTTCAGCACCCCTAAGGGGAGCCGCCAGGGGTGGTTGCACGGGCTCGTTCGCGGCCATTTTGTGGGGATGTCTCAGGCGGTTTGCTTGTTTCTGGGCTCAACATCCTTCGCTTGGGGAGCAGATTGTGAGGATGTCTCAGGCGGGGCGCTGGTTTCAGCACCCCTAAGGGGAGCCGCCAGGGGTGGTTGCACGGGCTCGTTCGCGGCCATTTTGTGGGGATGTCTCAGGCGGTTTGCTTGTTTCTGGGCTCAACATCCTTCGCTTGGAGAGCAGATTGTGAGGATGTCTCAGGCGGGGCGCTGGTTTCAGCACCCCTAAGGGGAGCCGCCAGGGGTGGTTGCACGGGCTCGTTCGCGGCCATTTTGCGGGGATGTCTCATGCGGTTTGCTTGTTTCTGGGCTCAACATCCTTCGCTTGGAGAGCAGATTGTGAGGATGTCTCAGGCGGGGCGCTGGTTTCAGCACCCCTAAGGGGCATATGCGCATATGGGAAGCTCAAAAGCTACCACGGGCTGACAAGGGGAAGGCCTGGCAGCTGAGGAGGGGGGATGAAGAGGAAGAGGCTCGCATTCAACCATACTCAAAGCTCACTCTGACTCATACGCAATCACTCGCATTAGGGGTCACTCGTCTTCGTCGGCCCTGTCGCCCACGTGGACGCGCTATTGTAGTCGACTGCTCATGAACAGATGCTCACCACGGCATGACATAAAACCTGATATGCACATATGGGGAGCTCCACGCAGTGGGTAATGATATAGATGATTATTGATGATTGTGAGATGGATGATCTGATGGTGGTGGCGGCGATTATGATGCTGACCAGGCGCGGTTGATGCGGATTCCGACAACAACGATGGTGGTTTTGGTGCTGGGTGGTGGTGGTTGTGATGCTGATGATGGTGATGATGGGGATGCTGCGGATATTGGCAAGGATTACGGTGATGATGGTGATGTTGGTGATGATAATGGCGATGTTGATGTGATGACGGCGACGGTCATGATGATGGTGGTAACGATGATGATGCCGATGTTGCTGATGCTGACGATGATGATGATGCTGATGCTGATGATGCTGATGACGGTGATGATGATTGTGATGATGATGGTGATGGCGCGTTTGGTGACGATGACGCCGCCGACGACGATGACGGTGGTTGTGTGGCTGATGAGTGGCTGGTTTGATGATGACCATGGTGTTGATGATGAGAATGGTGGTGGTGGTGGCGACGGTGGTGGTGGTCTTCTTATCGGTTGTGATTTTGTTGAT